ATCCCCTTCCAATAAAAGGCAATCCAATGTATAGACAGGCGATATCTATCAACAATTAAAGAAAATGTATAATTTAGTTTTTTTGAACGGCAACGAATTTCAATCTCAACTTAGAAAAAATCTGTTTTAAAATAACATATGAATGCTCTGTAATAAAAACAGCGTATTAAATAGTTTCGTCTTTTTTAGCTTTGATGTGCAACTGTATAATATGCTGTTTTTATTCTAGAGCATTGGTATAGTGATTAAAATGCAGGCATTATATTGAGATATTTTCAGCCAGATATCGTCAGGAGCTGAAATGGAGTGAAAACAATAAAAATGACTGTTTTCGGCTCGTGACGATATCTGGCTGAAAATATCTCAATATAATGTCTGTTAAAATGATATAAATTACACTTAGTAAATCGATTTGCTTTTTGTAAATAAAAATGACTACATACTGAATAAAATGTCTTACATCATTTTCTGCACTGTGATCCACGCATGTATTTATTGCATGCATCTTTTCCTGTAAATTTTAATTCACGTGAAAACTAAATTTCGTACAAAAATTATCGAAAAATGTGGTTTTCTGTATGGAATCTAGGTTGGCAAATCTACACGAATTAAAAAAAAATAATTTACGTAGAATATGTATACTCTACATTGTAGATTTTTCAAAATTAGAGCCAAATTGCCAAGTTGGTGAATGAATAGAATGTGTTTCTATTGAAAATATTTGTTATGTTAAATGTCCAATAAAAATAATTGACACGTTCTCAATAAAAATTCTATTCAATTTTTGGTATTTTGATACAATTTCTGGTGGTTTTAATATATTTTTTCGCCAAAATTGAATAATCTACAAATTTTGTAGATTACATGGGAAAAAATATGTAATTTACATGGTAGTAGTCTAAATTTACAAAATGTAGATTATGTATCAAAGTAATCTACATACCAACCCAGTATGGAATACATAATAATTATAAAAATTAATCATTTGAACGTTTTTGTTAAAAGGTTTTTATTTTTTTTTTTTTCGTTACCCTTGTGGAAAAAAAATGACTGACTGACTATAAATTAAGTCAATTTTGATCACTTTTATTCGGTTAAAATTACCAATAGATGATTGAAATCGAATATAGTCGGTTATGTTTCAGAGTTAACTAAAAGTGATTATAGTCATAGTTGACAAAAGTCAATTTCATATACTTATAGTTAACCGTAGTTAACTATGATCACAATCGACATTTCTCAACTCAAATTACACGAAGACGCATATAGTCACTTATAGTTAACTTTAGCTGACTGAAATCTCAGCCATTTTTGTCCAAAATTAGTCAATTTTTAGTCGACTATGAAGTTGAAATATTTCCACAAGGGATTGAATATTCGAATATTATTTGAGGGGTTCCGAGGAAAAATGTTACGTAGAAAAGTTCCGCAGAAAAATGTTCGGGAGCTAAATGATATCATTTAGCAAAGCTGATTGGTACCAAATAGCTTTAGTTGAGCTATATAAAAGAAGAAACTTACTCTTTTATAATTAACATTTCCTTGTATTTACACGAATGTTTCACTTTTCATTCAAAGGCTGCATTACTGTATCTAAGTGCAAGCCGCAGTGAAAACGAGATTCGATGTAGGAGCACAAAAATATCCGATCGTTATATTATGACTGCGGCTCATTGTGTACATGCAGGCAAAGAACCGTCTCAAGTTCGAGTTGGAAAAGTGAGTAGATACTATAGCGAGTTTTTAAGTTGATAGCTGAAACAGACAAGCAAATAAACAAACCGAAAACGATTTTGCGTGTGCAATTCAAGATTCTTTTATTTTTCATTCAAATAGCTAACTGTTAATGATGATGATGGAATGGAAGGCGAAATCTGTTCAATACAGGTAAGATCACTTAAAAATCTAATTTTCTTTCTTTTTTTCATCATTTTCTTAAATAAATGTTGTTATTACATCCAAAATATTACAAAGCATCCAAAATATAATCCACTTACGATGAAAAATGACATTGCATTGATTCGAACTGAAATGCAAATTCAATTCAATGATAATGTTACAGCAGCGTGCTTGCACACAATAGAGGAGGATGTTAATTTTGAACTGATCGTAATCGGGTGGGGTGCCACTTTCAATGAGGGTGGGATAAACTTATCATTATTAATTTTGGCCAGTTATTTAATGCAAATATATTTAATTATCTTTTCAAAGGACCCAATTCAAACAAGTTACTCATGACGAACTTAACATCAGTTCCATTGCTCGAATGTAATACAACTATTTTGGAATGGAATAAAGAATCAAAATTAAGCGAGTTTCAAAATGGTATCAGCGAAGGGCAATATTGCAAATGATCCAGAAGGAAGAAGAGATTCCTGCCAGGGAGATAGTGGCGGGCCTCTTCAATATTTCCCGAACAGTAATTCAAGCAGAGCAACCATAGTTGGCATTGTTTCATTTGGCGTAAATTGTGCCACCACACTACCAAGTGTCTATACTCGTGTTGCTTATTACATTGATTGGATTGAATCTATCGTTTGGCCACCCGCATAAAATATTTAAATATTATAAACTGTTACAATATAGCTTAAAACTTAAAACTATGTACTCCAAATATATATTTTAGTAATTTATTTTTTGAAAATAAAAAAAATTAAAATTAAAAGATTATTTAAGGTACCAAACTGGTAATATTTTGAAAGCTGCTGCGAATGTTTCAAATAAAAAAAAGTTATAATATAACAACAGTCAATATGTATATTATAAATAGAAGAACATGACATTTTGACCGTCTCCATACGAAACAGTGAAACTTTTCTATGGTACAATGACAAGCTCGCAAAATGGAAGCGGCTTATAAAATAATTGCACGAATATAAAGCTATTCAATAATAGATAGCTTCATTTTGAGATGCGAAAAGTCCTTTTCTTCTAACTAATAGATTAAAATTTAAATATTCACACTTATTTTTTATCCTTAACTCCTTGAAAATTATTACTTTATTTTTATTAGAAACAAAAAAAATCATGTCATGGAAGCTAACAAAATTCCAAGGACCATTTCAGCATTCGTCTGCCTGAAGGCATTTTATCAAGTAATTGATAATGATTTTACTTTTCTTTATTATCTCTAGCATATTATGACGGATATCAAACTAATAATCATAAGACAAAGTAATAAAATGAAGTTCTGCGCATAAAACTAATTCCGAAAACATGGCGAATATTCCAGAATAAAGTCAAAATTTGGATTTTTTACTTTTTTGGCATTGCATGTTATCGCAATATTAATGTAAGATTATCAAAAATAAAACTAGCACAGCCAGAGATGCAAAACATATGTTTGAATTTAATTTGAAAGCATTCCAAAATCTGCAAAGTAAAAACCAAGATTCAAAGCTATCATGGCATCGATTTCATGCTTAATTACGTACGATAATCAGATTTAAACGACAATGTGCACACATAGACATGCAAATACGATGCTTTAATATTTGGCACTGCACCAAATAAAAACGGCTCAAGAAATGTGCACAATCATGCAAAGATTTATGACATTTAAATGGTTGATAAATTCTGATTTTTGCTATGTAAATATCAATGAGCGCTAATATCGTAGATTTTTCTTTATCGATTCCACCAATACGACATCTACTAAAAAACTCGCCGATTTCTGTTACTAGTGGTGTTTTAATACAGCTCGTGTAAACGTACAAAGGAACACACAGACTCCGATTCTGTGTATGCGTATGTATTACAAATTCTGCACTCAGTCGTCAATCGTAGCTGCTTGTGCAAAATTTACAATACATACGCATACACAGGATCGGAGTCTGTGTGTTCTTTTGTATTAGTTCGTCTGTAATACAGCCATAGCCGTATAGTTCGTTTGAGCTGTGTCAAAGCAACAGTAGTAACAAAAATCGGTATCTTTTTTAACAGATGTCGTATTCGTAGATCCGATAAAATTAATTTGTATGGGGAATATACGATACTATTTCCCATCGGTAAATATAGGCGACATTTAGTTATTTTCGTCGTAGAAATTTTGCTCGTATTAAAAGTACAAAAACTCTTCATTTTCTTTTATTTTTTTCGCCTTTTTGTTTTTTAAATCAAGCATATGAGAATTTTACCATTTTTAGGGTGGAACATTTTTGGCATAATTTTGCAGTCACTTGGAAAAACATGTCTTATGGTCTCCAGATTCAAGATATGAAAGATATAGGGTGCTTTTTAGGAGTTTTGTTTTTTAAATTGATATAAATCACATATTTTTTTATTTTAATCATGTAAATTGGTAGAAAAATCTCTGGCATTTATGATTTGAAAAAGATTTCTGGCATATAGTCCACCGGTATGCAGTTGCTAAATAGACACTGCTTCTTCTTATTTACACTATGGGTGCAGCCATATTGGCATATTCATTTTTAAATAAGTGCGTTTAATGGAATATCAAAAATGCAAAGTACTAAATAGTACCACACGCAATGTTGAAATGAAAACATTTGCTTGTGAACAAAGTTTGTGAATACAATGCAGGACGAAAGAAATCATATATTTCTGGATCACAGTTATTCTAGGTAAGAAAAAATAAAATAAAGTAAAGTCGAAAAATATGTTTAATAATTTGTTTGCAACTAATAGCAATATTGTGGCAAAAGATATTTCTGTCGGCTGCAAAAATATTCTGTGCCGATAAAATTATTCGTTTTCTTGGCTTATTGTGCAGTATTCCATTTACAGTTTTTTTGAATCGACTTGTATAGGCGCCGATAAAATTTTACACAGCTAATTTTATTCTTTTATTTTTATTTTTAATACAAAAAGTACTATTTATTTGATTATTCACACATTAACTTCAAACTCAACTACAGATACACGTTTAGAACAAATTAGCCATACGCGCATTTTGACGTTTCATTAAACGCATTCATTTGACTTTTAGCTTGAAAATGGTTGCGCCCATAGTGAGAAAAAGAAGAAGCAGCACTAATAACAAAAAATGTATTGGAGTTCATACCGTCGATATAGTCACAATGGCCACTTTTTTTCATAGGCCCATCAGCCAGTCCTTTTTTTGTCAATTTTTTGATCATACTAGATTCTTTAATCCTTGAAAAAATGGGTTTGAAAGGTAAACCAGTGAAAGCCCTGAATTGTTCATTTCAAAAAATGACACTTCAGTCGACTAAAAGTGACATTTTATACGTCATCAACATTTTTGAGACATTTTTCTTAAAATTTCTCCTGGTGTCAACATTATGACCATGAATACCATTGTTCAAGACTGTTTGCCTCCAAATATTGTCAGTCATCCTGCGGAGCCATTTTAGTTTCAATAAAAAATCAAAATTTGCCAAACAGTGGCTTAAACGATTGATTTGTCGAAAACCTTGATTTTAAAGCAAATTATCACAGGTTGGTTGACCGTCTTCTTCGTGCTATGGTCTATGCCGATAAGCTAACAACACAGCAATGAAATCCCTACTACCGTGCTAGATGGTGTCGACACGAGTGACGTATTTTTAAATTTATTTGAACGACGCCATGTTACTATAGTTGTCCATTACAACATACATGTAACAGAAGAAACACACAGTCCATGTCCACGCTAGTGGACATAAACGATTTGAACTTTCAATGTGGACTAGATCAAGTATAGAACTTTACATAGGATCATATACGATGAATATGGATTACACAGTCTGTTTCAAAATACCGTCACTAATGTCGACACCATTTGACATCAAAATTTTGACAGTAAAAATATGTGTTATTGTTGTTGTCGTTTCATTGCTGTGGCTAACAACGATTAAGCACTTCTAAGGCCAATATTCATCGCGTTATTCTCGAGTTATTGCCAGCGATATACGAAAAAGTGGCCAAAAATCGACTGACCAACTGGCCTATGTAAAAAGTGGGCATGGTGACAAATAAAGCAATTTTCACGATTAAAATAAAAAAATATATATGATTTATATCAATTTGAAATCCTCAACCTCTTAAAAAAACACCCTTTATTTAAATTTTCTATTTGGTAGAAGACAGCGACTACTTTTTCCGGCACCGCTTGCAAATAATTTTGTATAAAAATCGCAAAATATCACATAATTCGTGACGTTTTGATCGAGATTCGAATCTCTAGACAAATCAAGTGGAGAAATAGACAACTTTACTTGACCAGAGTTAATTAAATTGGCCTATATCAGCTTAATGTAAATGACTATAGTTGGCTATAATCACTAGTGTAATCATCAATCAACCAACCGTCAAAATGTCCCAATACAATCATCTGCCTTTTAAGATTTATAATTGATTGTTTTTTATACAACCTTTCAAATTTTAATGGACTCATATTTGCTAATAGCCATTGAGAATTGAGTTATTAAAACCTTTGTGTTCCAAATAATCAAAATAATCAGTCGTATACATGTTTTTTATAAGTTACTTATTTTCACTCCCGCGGTTTTTTTAAAGAATGTGATTGCAATTCGAAATATAATTCGTAGGTATCATAAGTTTGTGATAAAAAAGTTTGTAAATAATACGTGGAGTTTATCCAAAATGCAAAAAAAAAATAAAGGTGTCAAAATTCGTATTCAACGGCCGGATCCATTAGGAGTTACTTAAAAAGAACATTTTTTTTATTCTAAATTTTAAGTTGGTAAAAGAGATTTTGATGGTTATAAAAAGAGATTTACTTTGTCAATATTTTCCAAATAGGCACTTCGATGGAAAACAAAGCGAAAAGTTTTTTTTTCTCCATCACCTCTCAAGACAGTATAATACTTCTATTGTTGATTGTCACGTATTCGGTGAAGTGCTCATCTATTTTCATTTTTACCAGCACACAAACATAGATACGCAAAAGAAAATGAGTCGCAAATTTTGTTGCAACGTCTTGTTTTGTGATTCTTTTTTTTTCATTTGATAATAAAACACACACATGTGTGCCACAAACTTGCTGCCATTTTTGCTAAACAATGTTAGAAAAAATATGAGCAAAAATTGAGGGGTAGCGCGATGAATTTTGGAAGAAAGGACGCATCCAACAGCCAAAGAGTGAAAAAAATTGTATTAAAAGTTTAGCGAGATTTAGCTGGGAGGTGAACTCGGTATAAATGTATATGATTTGTTGTGTTCGAAATCAAACAATGGATAAGCGAATTTAAAATTTGTAGCTCTCGTTGTGAATTAAATAAAAGAAGTTCAGATAAATCAACGATGCTGTGCTTATCGATGTGCATATATATATACGTAGGTTGCTCCATAATTTTTTTTAAAATGGTACTTATAGTGTTGCCCGATGTAAACCATTGTCATATTCGTAAAGTTTGATGTTTTGGTATGTATTCGTGCCCTGAACCTTTTGTCGTACGAACGCTATTTGTATTGTTTACAGTGACTGGTAAACTGCGACTCAACAAAAAAATGAATTTTACACGTGAAGATTTTCGTAAAATGATTTACTACGATTTTCGAAGTAAATTATCTCAACAACAGTGTTTCGATCGACTTCATTTGGCCTTTGGCAATGAAGCACCAACCCTTCAGACAATTTATAACTGGTACCGAGAATTCCGTTGCGGTCGTAGTTCGCTCAAAGACGAGTTTCATACAGGTCGTCCAAAATCGGCTGTTGTGCCACAAAACATCGATGCTGTCAGAAAACTGATTATGGAAGATCGTCATGTGACCTACCGTGAGATTGAGGCATCTTTGGGCATTTCATCCCACAGCATACATACAATTTTGCATGAACATTTAGCCGTAAAAAAGATTTGCTCTCGTTGGATCCCACATAAATTGACCGATGAACAAAAAATGGCTCGTGTGAGTTGGTGTAAAGAAATGCTCAAGAAATTCAATCGTGGTGCTTCAAAAGACGTTAATAAAATCGTCACTGGTGACGAATCGTGGATATATGCCTATGAGCCCGAAACGAAACAGCAGTCGACTGTATGGGTCTTCCAAAATGAAGATAACCCAACGAAAGTTGTTCGAGCAAGAAGCACTTCGAAGCGAATGGTCGCCTGTTTTTTCGGGAGAAGTGGTCATGTGGCAACCGTTCCACTAGAGGATCGTAAGACCGTCAATTCTGATTGGTATACCACCATTTGTTTGCCCGAAGTGTTTGGTGAAATAAGAAAAAACAACCACCGTCGCAAAATAATTCTTCATCACGATAATGCGAGCTCTCACACATCTTTTCAAACTACTCGATTTTTGACCGGTCAAAACATCGAACTGATGGGTCATCCACCGTACAGTCCTGACCTGGCACCCAATGACTTTTTTTTGTTCCCAAGCGTGAAGAAAAAACTACGTGGTCAACGATTTTCGACACCAGAAGAAGCAGTTGAAGCGTTCAAAACACACGTTTTGGAGATATCAGTTTCGGAGTGGCACGAATGCTATGACAAATGGTTTCATCGAATGCAAAAGTGTATCGATCATCTCGGGGAATATTTTGAAAAACAATAAAACCATTTTCGACAAAAAACAACTGTGTTATATATGTTTTTAAAAAAAATTATGGAGCAACCCTCGTATGTAACCATATATCGAGTACAACAAGTTGCTAAATTAACTCATTGAAACTTTGGTGGAGTGTGCATTCACAATATGAAGATGAAAAAAATGGGTACGAGAACGTACACATTGTAGCAGCTGGAAAGATAGTGTAATTTCACATGTATGCGGCCAATTTGAACGGTAAGAATGGCGAGAGCACAAAAAAAAAATCCGAATTGAAAAATTAGAAATTCAATTTCAAACAGAATCACGATCTGGATCTTAGTCTTTTTGCCAACCCATTTAACCAATCGCAATGCCATATTATTGCAACTTTCCACCAATTCAAATTGCATCAATTCATTCGGATGCATCAATAAATATACGGTCAAATTGACAGTGGCACAATTAGTTCAATCACAATTCGTATTTATTCTTTGTGGTAAAATTGCAATTTACGCAAAAAGATAATTTACTACGAATGATGGACAGAATAATGAGTGGAAATAAATGTACGATTCAAACTTACAGCAACAATAATAACGTGAAAAAATAAATCGGGAATAAAACAACGATTGTATCAAATAAAAAAAGAGGGTCATTTGTAATAGGTGAATGAAATGCAAGTAAAATATTGCGAATTATGTCA